CGGAGCACGTTGGAATGCCTGTGTTGTCTGCTATTGTGCGGTGACGTTATCCCGGCCGGGATGGCCAGCACCGAAATTCGTGACATTTTTGTTACTTCTGCGTTGTTGGATATAGACGTCAGCAGCAGTGTTCTTGTATTTTGTTGTGCGATTACTGGCCGATCGATATCGACACCATCTGCAATCCAGGCCGGCTCGGCGGAGTAGCATCTAGCCTGGGACGCGCAACATGCATGCGCGCGCGGCGCACGTTGACGGCCTTGCGACCGCGATCGGCCGACCTCAGGGCCCCGAGGCTCTGGGCTCCGTCCATCTGCCATTTCACGGCCGGCGTGCCCACCGCGCCAAAAGGTGTTGGGGTGGGGCGGCACCTTTTAGCTTCAGATTTCCATCAATGTTAGTTTTCATTTGTTGGCGAGTGCGTTCACCCAACTTTCTATAGTATTGTCCTTGAGTCTTTCTGTCATTCCTTCTTTTCCTCCCTTCCCCTCGTCCCACATCTACCCGTTGAGGCGCCATCGATGGGCGCAAGATTGCCATACCCATACCGAGGTTTTAGTGCCATGGACGCGGACATCTGCAGTCCAACTCCTTGTGCGAGAGTGCCTCAGGGCCTGCTGCTCGCGCATTGCCAGTACATGTGTTGTTCAAGTCTCTAGGTAGACTGCCCCTTCCTAGTCCAGGGCGATGTTCGCTGAACAGCTGCTGTAAGTCTCTCTGCCCGGCCCCTCGGCCTTCCCCGCAGTTCCGTCCTCTCTGCTCCGCCTGCCTGTCCTCTTGCTGTTTGGGTCTCTGCGTCGTCACACGAACGGGTGGGCCTGGCCACCACTTTGCACTGCTCGGGATTCGGTCCCGATCGCCTTCTCTTTGCCTACATGGTGGAGTCCACTTCCCATCAGTTGGGAAGCTGGCAGTTTTCATCATCAGGTGTTTGCACTGGACAACACGTTCTGTGCTGGATTTGTGCAGTGTTGGACGTTGCGTACTGTGGAAAGAGTGGAAGTTCACCAGCTGGTGGAGAGGATCCGACGCCCTAGCCTCATCGCTGTCGTCCGTCGGGCGACAATGATGCTGATGATGCACATGGTGCTGATGCTGCTGATAATGCTGCTACTGGTGCTGATGACGATGATGATTGTGCTACTGACTATTATGAGGATTCTGGTCATGATGATGCTGATGATGGTGACGCTGATCACAATGATACGGATTATGATGCTGATGATGCTGATGATGCTGTTGTTGATGCTGATGATGATGCGGCTGACTATGATGATGCTGATGATAATGATGACGCTGCTGTTGATGATGATGATGATGATGTTGTTGATGATGATGGTGATAATGATGTTGATTGTGACGATGCTGATTATGCTGATGCTGATGAGGATGCTGATGATGATGCGGAGGCTCAGGATGATGATGATGCTGATTTTGATGATGATGCCGATGGTGATGATGCTGATGATGCTGATGATGATGCTGCTGCTGATGATGATCGTGCTTCTGCTGATGATGATAATTCTGCTGCTGCTGCTGCTCCTGATAATGATACTGATGCTGACGATGATGATGCTGATGCTGATGATGATGCTGATGATGCTGTTGTTGATGATGATGTTGCTGATGATGCTGCGTGTGCCAATATTGCTGATGATGCTGATGATGTTGACGATGCTGATGATGATGACGATGATGATGACGACGACGATGATGATGACGATGCTGATGTTGATGATGATGGTGATGACGATGATCATGATAATGATAATGATGATGATGATGCTGTGGATGATGATGCTGATGATGATGATGATGAGGACGGGGAGGATTCTGAGGATGATGACGATGACGATGCTGGTGCTGCTTATGATGATGATGATGATGCTGATGATGATGAGGATACTGCTGCTGATGATGATGATGGGAACGAGGATGAGGATGAGGATGGGTATGCTGATGATGAGGATGATGCTGCTGATGATGATAATGATAATGCTGATGATGATGATTCTGATGAGGAGGATGATGATGATGATGACGATGATGATGATGATGGTGATGATGATGATGATGATGATGATGATGGTGGTGATGAAGATGAGGCGAAGGAGGAGGGGGAGGAGGCTGATTAGGAGGAGGAGGAGAATGAGGAGGATGAGGAGGAGGAAGAGGATGACGAGGATGCTGAGAGGAGGGGGAGGAGGAGGAGGAGGAGGATGAGGAGGAGGAGGAGGAGGAGGAGGAGGAGGAGGAGGATTAGGAGGCGGAGGAGGAGAAGGAGGACGAGTAGGAGGAGGAGGAGGAGAAGGAGGAGGAGGAGAAGGAGGAGTAGGAGGAGGCGGAGGAGGAGAAGGAGGATGAGGAGGAGGAAGAGCATGAGGATGAGAATGAGGATGCGGATTAGGATGGGGATGGCGATGATGATGAGGAGGAGGATGCGGATGATCATGATGATGCTGATACTGATGCTGATGATGATGACGATGGTACTGATGATGATGATGCTGATAATGAGGATGATGATGAGGATGCTGATGATGATGCTGATGATGCTGCTGATGATGCTGATGATGATTCTGCTGATCATTATAATGCTGATGATGACGATGCCGATCATGGGGATGCTGCTGCTGATGATGATGCTGATTATGCTGATGATGCTGATGCTGCTGATACTGATGCTACTGATGATGCCTCTGATGACGGTGATGATACTGAATGTGATGCTGATGTTGATGATGATGGTTATGATGAGGATGGGATAGTGCTGATGGTAGGGATGATGCTGATGACGATGCTGATCATGATGGCGACGACGACGACTATGATGATGTTGATGATGCTGATGTTGCTGATGATGATGATGATGATGATGATGATGATGATGATGATGATTGCTGCTGATGCTGGTGCTGCTGCTGATGATGCTGCTGATGCTGATGATAGTGGTGATGATGGTGATGCCGATGCTGATTATACTGACGGTGATGATGATGCGGATGAAAATGATGATGGTGATGATGATGCTGATGCTGCTGATGATGCTGATGCTGATGCTGATGCTGATGATGGTACTGATGATTATGCTGCTGCTGATAATGCTGATGTTGATGCTGATGCTGCTGCTGCTGATGATGATGATGATGATGATGATGATGATGGTGATGGTCACTGTGATGGTGATGATGATGACGATGATGATAATGATGCTGATGATGCTGATGATGATGATGACGATGATGATGATGATGATGATGATGATGATGATGATGATGATGATGATATTGATGATGATGATGATGATGATGATGATGATGATGATGATGATGATGATGATGATGATGATGATGATGATGATAACGATGATGCTGATGATGCTGATCATGAGGAGGAGGAGGAGGCGGAGGAAAGGGATGAGGCGGGGGAGGATAATGAGGAGGAGGAGGAGGAGGAGGAGGAGGAGGACGGGTTGGCGCAGGGGGGCGAGGAACACAGCGTATCGGGAGGGTGCATCCGTGCAAGGGGCCCAAGAAGCCCAAGTTCAAGATCGAATACAACGGAGTTACGCACGCGATACGGCTGGCCGAAGGCGGGGCCTTCGCACGGGGGTTGCTGGGGCATACAGCTCAAGATGGGTCGGAAGGCCTTACTGAATGGGCGCCAGGTATTTCTTTGCACGGGCTCATTTTGTCTTCCTCCTACTCCTCCTGCGTCTCCCCCTCCTCCCCTCCCATCGTCCTCTCCTCTCTCTTTTTCCTACTCCGACAGTGCTGCGGCTTCTGACTAGCCCATTGTCCCGATCATCCAACCGACCTCCTTCTCCTTCCTCCTTCTGCTCCCTCTTTCCCTTTCTTCTCTATCCTCCTTCTCCTGCTGATACTGCTGCTTCTCCTCCTCCTCCTCCTTCGTGAGATGAGCAGAGCTTTCATGGAGACGCTCGCTCCCTCCTCCTCCTTGAGAGTCCCAGGCAGCGGCCGAACATCGGCCACGCTGTCGGGACACAGTTTTGGCGGCACTTCCCACTCTTGCGGTGGCTTTGTCTTGCCACTCATTTTACTGGTGGTAAGATACCCGACGACGTCTGCCGTTGCCGTTCTTCCTTGGTCCTGTTGATTCTGCTGCTCTCCTCGGTCCCCCACCCTCCTTCCTTCTCCCACCCCTGCCTCCTCCTCCGTCACTCCTCGTTATGAACCTGCTCGTTCTCCTCCCCCTTCATAGTCTTCATCCTCCTTTCTCACCTTTATTGTACTTTCTCCTCGAATGGCCATCGCTTTTTTGATCAGTTTTCTGGTCGTCGTCATCCTCCAACTCGTCAGCGCTCCTCCTCCTCTGCCTTCTTTTTGCTATGTGTGGTCAGTGGAAGCAAGCCCGTTGAGCCAAGTACTCCCGTTCGGTGGCAATGCCTTGAAGGCGTGGGCAAAGCGAGACAATTCTCAAGCGAGGGCAGTCTCGGGAGCAATTGCCCGTCCTGCTTTGAGCACAGGCCGAGCGCCGAGACTCGGCCAGGAGCGACGGTTGGCTGCTCTTGCTGAAGGCGAACATGTAGACGTCCACAGTGATGTCTTCTCTTCTTCCTCTTGCTTCTCATTCCTCCTCATCCTCTGCTTCCCGCCTCCTCTTTCTCCCCTCTCTCTCGATCCCGTTTCTCTGCCTCCTCTTTCTTCCCTTTGTCTTCCTCCTTCACCCTCCGTCCACAAGGACTTCTGGAAACTCAGGATTTTAGAAGCAGAAATTTGAGAAAACCGTAATTCGAGAACATCCGAAGGCATCACAAGTTCACGGAAACGTTCGAACACTGCACAGATAATCAGAAGTGCCCCCGAACATCTTCGGCACAACCGGATATCGTTTGAGAGCATCTCGACGGCGGTGGCGGCGGCGGCAGCGATGACGCCAACGCCGACGCCGACACCGACGCCGCCGCCGCCGCTGCCGCCGCCGCTGCCGCTGCCGCCGCCGCTGCCGCTGCCGCCGCCGCCGACGACTACAACTTTTCGAGCCTTTTTGGCCCGAGTCGGCCTGGCACCTCCACCCGCGGCCGCGTCGCGAGGGCGCGCTCCCGCTTCGCCACCGCCCGTCAGGCCAGTCTCGGGGCCAGGGGGAGGAGGAGGTCATTGCTCCTCCTTCTTCTCCTCGTCCTCGTCCTCGTCCTCGGCCTCGTCCTCGTCGTCGTCGTCGTCCTCCTCTCCCTTCTCCTCCTCCTCCTCCTCACCCCTTTTCTCTTCTTTCGAACTGCAACTTTTGCCCGTGGCAGGGTGTCGCCCCCTTTGTCGTCCTCCTGCGTACTGTTGGGTGGAGAGGAGCTTTTGGTCTCAGAAAGTATCGTCCTGCTTCTGTTCCTCTGCCTCCTCCTTCTCCTCCTCCGCCTCCGGGTCCGCCTTCCTCGCTCCTCCCTCTTGCGATGTTGTACTGCCACGCTCGTGTGTCCTTTCCCCTCCCTTTCTGCCGGCAGCCGGCTGGCTTAGGGGCCTATCTCGGCAGGTTCACGAGGTTTATGCTGTCCTTGTCCCGACCTCCCATGGAGCCGCCCTGCGCGCCCGCCTGGTGCACGTGCTGGAGCGGCACCGCATCTGAGCGGCAGGCTGGCGCGCGAGGTCGCTCTGCCCCATATTGCCGAGGTGGCGGCGAGCCTATCTGGGGACGAGGCCTCCGGCCCTTCGCGGGAGCTTGTCGCAGCGGCTGCCGCCGAGGCGCCCGTCAGGAAACGGCCCCGCTCCTGCACGGGGCTGCCGCATCTCGCGATCCTCGCGGACGCCGCCCACGCAAAGGCCTTGGCTGGCCAGCGCGTCCTCAGAGGCGCGCCCTCCGCTTGGGGGCCCAGTCGCTGGCGTAGACCCGCCTCGCGAGGCGCTGCCGCGTCTGCAGTGACGAGTGCCGCGGCGAGCTGGAGACGACAGCCCTGAAGCCCGCCAGAGGCGCCCGACGCTCCGCCGAAGCCAGGCACCGCCTGCGGCCCGTGACCCGACCGACGCCCGCGCCAACCCTGTCCGGGGTCCGCGCTGGGCGGAAGCGGTTGGCGACGGCGCGGGTGGGCCGTGCGCGGGCGCCTTGCCCCGCGTCTGCTCTGCTGCGAGACCAGCCGCGCCGGCCAGTGACCGCGAAATGCACCAATGAGGAGTTCTCAGCCGTGATCAACCAATACGGCCTGAATGTGCCCTGCACGCGCCAGGCTCTCGGGAGGCCGAGGCTGATGTACCTCTTGGAGGAGGTTGAGGCGCCGTCGATGGAGCTGGCGAAGGCCTGCCTCGACCAGGAGCTTGCCAAGCTCGCGCTGATGGGCCACGCGCGCCTGTCCGCGGCCGGGACGTGCGAAAGGGCCGGGGAGGCGATCGGGAGGTGGCTCCTTCGCATCCACCAGCGGCCGTGGCCCACCGACGTTCCGCACTTCATGAACTACCTGCGCGCGATGTTCTTGGAGCTGAGCGCCCAGTGCGCCCAGGCTTTGCGCCCAGGGTGTGGGCCTGGATGGAGAGAGCTCGTCTTCGAGCAGGCGGCGCGCCTCAGAGGGCGGCTCGAGCTCACGAATGCCGTCGGATGCGCAGAGGTACAGCTGGGTTCGAGGAAGGGTCCCGCGGTCAGGGCGGCCCGCTTCCCGTCGCTCGCATCGGCGCCCTCGAACAAATCGAACGTCAGCGACTACCTGCGAGGGGCGATATGGCTGCGATTGCCAGAGATAGGGGCGGTGCTTCGTCACGATGACCACAGCTGGACGGCACCGCAGCTGCTCTCAGGTCGACTTCCACCTGTGGCGCAGGATTGCGGACTTCGAGCGCGACTACTTCCTGCCGAGTTGCGACTGCCGAGTTGCGACAACGTTGGCCATGGGATCCTTTCCAGAGAGGGACTCCCGTCTGAAGAGCAATCACATGGAGCCCTCGTCTTTCAGGAGGGCGCTTCCCACAACGAAAAACAAGCGTGTATGCTTTGATGATTGGCTTGGGGCGGAAAGGTGTGTGGCAGCATTGATAATGCATCCTGTGCTTGCTCTGGCCCTCCTTTTCCACTGCGTCTTCCACATTTCCCCCTCGCCCTTCCTCCCACGTTCTGCCCCATCCACCTCCTCATTCTCCGTCTCCCACTCCTCCACCTCCTCCTCTTTTTTCTCCTCGCCTTCCTTCTCCTCCTCCTCCTCCTCCTCCTCCTCTTTCTCTTCCTGCTGCTCCTTCTCCTCCTCCTCCTCCTCCTCCTCCTCCTGCTGCTCCTCCTCCCCCTCCTCCTCCTCCTCCTCTTCCGGCCCCCTGCTTCCTGCTTCAACATGTAAGCAGTCAAGTAAGATCATGACCCGCCTGCTTCTCCCAGTCCCACTGCTGCTGCTGCTGCTGCTGCTGCTGCTGCTGCTGCTCCCTCTCCTCGTTGTCTTCCTCATTCTCCTTCTCCTTCTTGTCCTCCTAGCTTTACTTTCTAGTCCTCCCTCTCGAGGGGGATGGGGAGGAGGAGGAGGAGGAGGAGGAGGAGGAGGAGGAGGAGGAGCAGGAGGAGGAGGAGGAGGAGGAGGAGGAGGAGGAGGAGGAGGAGGAGGAGGAGGAATGACACCGATTTATCGGTTGTGCCAGCATGGCGCTGCCACTTGAAACTGCTCTCAGCCCTGAGCCCTCAGGGACATTGCGCGCAGGCCTTCTCTTTCTCTCGAGTTCAATTTTTCCTGCCTCATCTCATCTGGCCCTAGTCGGCTGCTCGCCCAGCCCGCAGCGACAGCTTGCGAGGCTGCCAGTCCTCCCAGCTCGGCGCGAACGGCATGCGGCCGCCCCTTTTCTCGTCTGCGGGGTCTGCCTTCTTCTCCTCCTCCTCCTCCTCCTCCTCTTCCTCCTCCTCCTTTTGCCCTCGTGGGGGTCCTTCCCGCTCTGGAAGCGGCATCACCTACTCCATCAACAAAAAGGCCTTCGAAATTGTGTAGGGCCGCTCGATGACGACCTGAGTGTGGCAGCTTGCCGTCGCTCGGAGTCGCGTCGCCTGGAGTCCGCCTCAATGCGCACCCATGCTCCCCGCGGGGGTCCTCTTCCACTTCCCAAGCTGCTCCGCTGGCTTCATAAGTACTCCTGGGATGGATGCCCTTCGGGCTCGTCTTCAGGCTTGTGAAGCCGAGGTCGCATGGCGTTCTCGGTCGGGCCGCTGAGTTTGCAAGGGGGGCTGTCGGGGCCGGACTATCGCCAGAAGTCCAGGTTTGACTTGGCCAGGGGGCTTGGCCTTGCGTACTGGTATTGTCTCATCTGCTGGCCCCTCTCTTCCATCTCGTCCTGGTGCGGGGCGTTGCTGTGAGAACCTTTTAATCTTCGTGAGGCTATTTTCTTGCAGAAGGCTCAGCTGCTTCAGGCGGCTAGGCGGCGTCACAGTGAGAAGGGATTTCACCACCAATACTTGCAACACACCCTTGTTCAGCATCAGGTCCCTCCACCCGAAGAGCACGAGGGACTCCATGAGCTTTAGATTATTGCGCGTAGCCATCATTCTGATACGTTCCGTGCAGTCCTTCGCGAAGATCGCTAACAATGCCACCGGCTTTTTCGCCGTACCCGACGATTGTGTTTTTTTTTGTTGTTGTGAGAAGCGCCATGCCAACGGCGCGGAGCAACTCGGTGTAGCTTGCTTCGATCGCGGCGGATCGTGTAGTGTAGTGCAGACGACCTCGACCTGCGAGGCAGCCGCCGCTACGGGGCTGCTGAGGGTGCGCGGTCGCGCCTGGTGGAGGCGAGCGGCGGGCCCAGTTCGACAGGGCGCCCAGCTCGCGCAGTTCCTCTTCACGTCCAGTGTCTCCGCCGCTATGGCTAGATCCATGACGCAGGACAAAAATGCCATCGACGATGTCGTCAAACGCCCGAACTGCGCGCAAGGGTTGCCGAAACACGATGGTTTTCTGGGCCTTTGCCTGCGCGCGTAGCAACTCCATGTCAATGCGCTAAGCCCTCCTGCAGCGCCTTGCACGCGTGCAGGCTGACGCTGCCGTCAATTCCGCTTTGCCGGAGAGAGGAGGACAACGAAATTAATGATGATGCTGCTGCTGCCGATGATGATGATGGTGATGATGATGCTGCTGCTGATGATGATGCTTCTGATGACGATGATGAGGATGCTGATGAGGATGATGATTGCTGGTGGTGATGATGAGGATTATGATGATGCTGATGCTGATGCTGATGCTGATGCTGATGCTGATGATTATGATTATGATTATGATGCTGATACCGACGATGATGCTGTCGCTTACGATTATGATGGTGATGCTGATGATAGTGATGATGATGATGAGGATGATTATGATTATGATGATGTGGTTGATTCTGATGATGATGACGATGATGATGGTGATGTTGATGGTGGTGGTGATGTTGATGGTGGTGGTGATGATGCTGAGGTCGATCATGATGGTGCTACTCCTGATGATGATCACTGGTGATGATGACGATGAGCATGTTGATAAGGATGGTGATGATGATTGTGATGATGATGATGAAGATGGTAATGCTAATGATGGTGGTTTTTGATGATGGTAATGCTGCTGCTGATGATGATGACGACGATGATTATGCTGACGATGCTGACGATGCTGATGATGATGCTGATGACGACGACGATGTTGCTGATGATGATGATGACATCGATGATGCTGATTATGATGATTGCGAACACGATAATGATGATGCTGATGATGACGAGGATGATAGTGACGATCATGGCGATGCTGATGCTGCTTATGATGATGATACTGATGATGATGATGCTGATGATGCTGACGATGACGATGATGATGATGGTGATGCTGATGACGATGATGACGACGATGATGATGATGACGATGCTGCTGCTGATGATGATGGTGGTGATGCTGCTGCTGATGATGATGATGGTGATGGTGATGACTATGGCAACGACGGTGAGGATGATGCTGTTGCTGATGCTGATGCTGATGGTGATGACGACGACGATGGCGACGACGATGACGATGCTGATGATGATGACGATAATGCTTATGATGATGATGATGATCTTAAGGATGATGATGCTAATGAAGATGATGATGCTGCTGATGATGATGATGGCGATGATGACGATGATGATGATGATGATGGATATGCTGATGATGATGACGATGCTGATTCTGCTGAGTATGCTGATGATGTTGATAATGATGCTGCTGCTCATGCTGGTGATGCTCAGGATGCTGATGATCATGTTGTTAATGATGACGATGATGCTGCTGCTGATGATGATGCTGCTGATGCTGCTGATGATGACGATGACGATGATGATGCGGATTAGCATCATGATGATGCTGACGATGATGGTATGGTGATGATAATGATGATGATGCTTCTGCTGCTGCTGCTGCTGCTGCTGATGATGATGATGATGATGATGATGATGATGTTGATGCTGCTGCTGCTGATGATGATGATGATGATGACGATGTTCATTGTGGTGGTTGTGGTGGTGGTCGAGGTGGAGGAAGACAACAAGTGAGGTGTATGGCGGTGGAGGGGGATGCTTGCGAGGAGCATGGTAGGGAACAGGGGCACGGTGGAGGTGTAGGGGTGTAGGAGGAGAAGGGTAGAGAGGGAGGAGTGGAGGAAAAGGAGGACCACGTCGGCGACGACGATGACGGGGATCTCGTGGTCGTCGCTAGCGCCACGCCACCGCCGCGCCCGTTGCTGCCGCTGCCGCCGTCGCCGTCGCTGTCGTCGCCGTCGTCGCCTTCGGTCTTCGTCGTTTGTGGTCGTCCTTCGTCGTTAGTCGTCGGTGTCGTCGTAGGTGTCGTCGTCGGTGTCGCCGTCGTTGTCGTCGTCGTCGTCATCGTCGTCGTTCTTCGTTAGTCGTCCTTTTTCGTTAATGGTGGTCGTCGTCGTCGCCCCCGTCGCCGCACGGCCCGCCAGGCCAGTGCTGCGGCGGAGCTCCGCGGCGCATTGGCTGGCGGAGGGTCGATGCTTTCCGGGCAGGGCCAGCTGGCCGCGCGGCGGCTGAGGGCCGTCCTCTTGGGGGCCAGCCGCAGGAGAGTTGGAGCGGCGCCTGCGGCGGCGTCGACGGCAGCAGCGGCAGCGGCGGCGGCGGCGAGGAGGACGGGTTGGGGTAAGTCATGTGTGCAAGCGTGCATTTAGATGGATATTCGACGATGTATGATCCCAGCTTTTTCCGCGATTTCGGCCCCTGGGGCCCGTTATCGGGTCCCAGGGCCATTACAAACAAATCCAGGACGAAAAACTACCCCTGAGGAAGGGGTCGGGACCTCTGAAGATAAGGCGAAGGGGATGCGGATGATACGGAGGTGGAAGAGGAGGGGATCTTTGAGGGAGGAGGAACAGCAGGAGGAGGTGGATGAGGAGGGGGATGAGGAAGAGAGGTAGAAGGTGGAGGAGGAGGAGCGGGAGGAGGTGGAGGAGAGGGAGCAGGAGGAGCAGGAGCAGGAGCAGGAGGAGGAGGAGGATGAGGAGGATGAGGAGGAGGAGGATGAGAAGGAGGTGGATGAGGAGGAGCTGTTCCCGAGCGCTCAGCTTACGCGACGCTGCACAGGGACGTTGTCCGAGGAGGAGAAGGCGGAGGAGGAACGGACGAGCAATGCGATGTGGGGATCTCTGTCGTCGCCGCCGCCACCCGCTCCGCCATTGCCGCCACCGTCGTCGTGCGCTCGTTTATCCTTTTTCCCTGAAGCCCACAGATGCACATTTTTTTTTTTGCAATCCGCGGCCAAAGAGTCGCCGACCCCGTCACTGGGGGTAGTTTTGTGATCTGCATTAATTTTTTATGGTCCCAGGGCCAGCAAAACGGGCCAGGGAGGCCGAATACAGGAAAAATGCCGGGGCTGAACAAATCATATCGTCGGAGGTTTGGGTCGTCGCCGCCGCCGCAATCGCTTCCGTCGCTGGTGGCGCCGCGGCCGCCCCCCCCCCCCCCCCAAGGAGCGCCTCGTCGCCGTCGTCCGCTCCGCTCCGCCGCCGCCGCCGTGTCCTCGTCTGTCCTCCTCGCCGCCGGCGTTGTCGCTTCCGTCGCTGGTACCGCCAGTCCGCTCCGCTGACGCTGCCGCCGTCGCCTCTTGGGGGCCTCTGGAGCCATCTTGGGGCGATCTGGAGGCATATTGAGTCGTCTTCGATTGCGGTCAAAGCCCCAAAAGCGAATGCGCTAAAAATGCACGTTTTGCTGAGGGAATGGGGTATTTCTTTTCTTCTGGAGCCCAGGAAGGGGGATCCTTTTGGAGCCCTCTCGGGGCGTCTTGGGGGCCCCTTCGGCCCTGTTCTTTAGATTTCGAGATTAAGTCGACAGCATACGCGTGCGGAACATATGGGTCCAAGCTGCCGCAACACCTGGATATTGTACTGGCCTCCAGCCAGTGCCCCTGATCCGAGGCGCTCCGGATGATGATGATGATGATGATGATGATGATGATGATGATGATGATGATGATGATGATGATGATGATGATGATGATGATGATGATGATGATGATGATGATGATGGTGATGGTGATGATGATGATGATGGTAATGATGATGCTGATTGTGATGATGATGATGACGATGATGACGACGATGACGATGCTGCTGATGATGCTGATGGCAACGACGATGATGATGATGAGGATGATGATGATGATGTTGATGATGATGATGTTGTTGTTGATGATGATGAGGATGATGATGATGATGATGGTAATGATGATGCTGACTGTGTTGACGATGGTGACGATGATGATGGTGATGACGATGCTGACGATGACGATGCTGCTGATGATGATGATGATGATGATGCTGATGATGATGATGCTGATGATGCTGATGATGATGATGATGATGATGATGAGGATGAGGATGATGATGATGATGATGATGATGATGATGATGATGATGATGATGATGATGATGATGATGATGATGATGATGATGATGATGATGATGATGATGATGATGATGATGATGATGATGATGATGATGATGATGATGGTGATGATGGTGATGATGGTGATGGCCATGGGACCATCATGGGCGTCTTGGGCCGATAGTTCGGTGATTCGGGGCTTTCTTTGGCCGTGTTGAGGGCTTCTTGGGGCCCTGTTGGCCCGTCTTTGGCTTCTCTTGGGCTCGAACAAATCATGCGCGAACATTCGGGGGGCCCCAGAGGGCGCGCGGGGAGCCTCAAGAGATTTGAGAGCTTAGGGTCCGGGCCCATTAAGAACCCTCAGGCTGGAGGACGGAGGCTCAGGGGATTGAGCAAGGGAACTGGGGAAGCTTCTTGGGGGTCGTTTTGGGGCTTCTTGGGGCCTCTTTCGGGCTTCTTGGGGGCCTTCTGGGGCCTCCTGGGGGCGTCTTGGGGGCCTGTTGGCCACCCCGCCCCCGAGCGCTAAATGCGTCGGGAATGGCGTCCCCCCCCCCCTTCCAGAGCCTCCTGGGGGCTTCTTGGGGGCCTGTGGGCCGCCTCGCCCCCGAGTGCTAAATGCGTCGGGAATGGCGTCCCACCCCCCTTTGCAGAGCGAAGCTTGAGCGAACTCAAGTCAACGCTCTCAGAAACTCACACGCTGGTTCGGCGGATTTTCCCTCTTCAATGCGGTGGGATTGAGTTGAGGTCAGGATGGTGGACATATAGTAGTCTTGAATCCGACTTGGGCGTCTTGACATGCTCTTGGGCCGCCGTCGCCTCCGTCGCCGCCGCCGCCGCGGCACCCCCGAGGAACGCCTCGGTTCTGGCGGCGCCCGCGCCCCCCGGGGCGGCGTCCCCGGCCTGCGGCTCGCGCGGCATCTCTGCCTCCTTGCTCGCTGGCAGCGGCCGCCGCGAGCTTCCGGAGGTCTCGGCCCGCTCGGCGGGGGGGATTGCTGTCCCCGAGACCTTTCAGGAAGCTGGATGCACACTGACGCGGCCGGCCTGGTCGAGAGTGGTATACACATGTGGCCATACGTCTTTCCAGCGCTCGGCCCTCGTGTGGCCAGGCACGCTGGCCCTTCGCGTGCGTATCCAGCAAGTGGCCTCAGGATGTTCCACATGTGAATCCACTCACCTATGTTTCTAGCTAGTTGGACAACTGTCTCCCCCCTCCCTCCGAGCCCTCCTGGATCCTCCATGGCGCCCATGAGCTGAGTGATGATGTGCTTGGCTTAGGGACCCCTCAAGAGCCCCAGTTTGTTTTCAGAGACTCTAGCGGGGGCAAAGACTCCAGCGATCAACGTCTTCGCAGGATTGGCGTCTGCCTGGTTTCGGTTGCTCACTTTTCGCCCTTTCAGTTTGGTGTTGCCATACGGGGGTCGCTAGTCGACCCGAAGCAGTCTGTCCCATCGGTCAATTTCATGACCTTAATCTCAGGAGTAAGGTGCAGCAGAGGTTTCATGTGTTCTGTCACGGACAACGAGTTAGGGTGTATGCAGGAGTGTGGTACGGCAAGAATTTTCTCATGGCGCAAGGTGAGAACAGTGATTTGTAGAGGGACCTCGGCGCGTTGCAGGCAGCTTTGGACTTTTTCGGATATTGTTGTCCTCTAAGTGCTTTTGCACCTCTCCGCCGCTCAAGCCGTCTCTGGACCCCACCCCATGTGGTTGATCCTGGGGAATACAGTCGTGGACGAGACAGCAGGCATCGCCGCCGAAGAACGTAGGGTCCCTGCTCACGAGCGCTCTCGCGTGCTTGAAGTTGAAGTCGAACACAAAGCTGTCCTCGTTGGGAAGAGGTTCTTGAGATCCAATTTGGATGCTGTTGCCTGCGAACAACTCCCCCCCAGTGGACAAAATGTCCGCCTGCCCCCCTTCCCTCCTCTCCCGCGGCCCTGTCTGTTTCTTCGTCCATCCATCAGCTTTCGGACGACGGTGGGAGCTGTGTGAGATGTAAGGAGTGCCGCCAAGTATTCAATTACCAAGTGGCGAGCCACCCTTTGTGTAGCCCCGCAGCCAAATTCGAAATTCTTAAGGTTGCCGAGGGGGTTATCTATACGTACATATCTGGGGCGGTATCACACATGACAGTCACACTATGTTACATATCAGTCATGTGCGTGTCTGGCTCTGTAAGGAGTGTGGATCCGATGGGAGTGCTCAGCTCAGATCGTTGGGCGAATCTTGTTTGGCCTCCCCCACACCAACCAGAACCGAGTACAGTAACATACTTTGCAAGGGCAAGTGACCCAAGACAAAGCCCAGCCCATCCCGAGAAAGCTCGGGTGGGTGGTTGGTCGGGTGACGTTTTTCATCGCTTCGTGATAAGTCCATTCCATTCCGTTCCATTCCGTTCCATGCGATTCCATGCCATGGCATGTCATTCGATTGCATTCCATTCCGTTCCGTTTCGTTCCATTCCAATCCATTCCATTCTTGTCCGTTTCATGCCATTCCATTCCATTCCATTCCATGCCATTCTTTTCCTTTCCATTCCATTCCGTTCCGTTCCGTTCCGTTCCGTTCCATTCCATTCCATTCCATTCCATTCCATTCCATTCCATTCCATTCCATTCCATTCCATTGCATTCCATTCCATTCCATTCCATTCCATTCCATTCCATTCCTCCTCCTCTGCGACAGTCGCATTACTATGGCAGTCAGTTGAAGGTGCCCCAGGCCATAGAGGCCCTCGGTTGGCACACCGCGAACCGCATAGAGGAAGCCAAGTGCCTGCACCCAGCGTTCTACACCGACGAGGCGTACGCCGTCGCGGAGCGGGAGCGCATCTTTGGCACGCAGTGGTTCGCGGCGGCCCACGTGCAGGAGTTGTCAAGCCCAGGGGACGTTAAACTCGTGGAGTTCGGAGACACCTCCATTGTACTCACATGCGACAAGAAGAATCATATCCACGCGTTCTACAACACGTGCCGCCATAGGGGCGCGCGGGTCTGCACGTCCAGCCAGAAGAAGTGCAAGCAGCTCGTGTGTCCGTATCACTGGTGGGCTTATCGCCTCGATGGCACCCTGAAGGCGACGCCTCCCGCACACACCCCGAAGGAGCGCAAGGAGAGCCTGGGGCTCCTGCCCGTTCCTGGCGTCGGTGTCTTCGCAGGCGTCGTCTTCCTGAACCAGATGCCAAACCCTCCCCCGCTCTTGGACATGCTGGGTGACCTGCCAGACAAGCTCAGCAACTACGACCTTGGCGACATGGACATCCACAGGGCCATTGACTACGACATCAAGGGCAACTGGAAGCTCATTGCCGAGAATTTCGTCGACTTCTACCACATCGACGCCGTGCACCCCGCGCTGGCGAAGTTTTCCAAAGTGGAGGACTGGCAGGGCTAGGGTGGCTGCGCACGGCCATCGCCGAGAGATAGTTCTGGCTGGCCTCAATACGGTCAGGAACTTCTGTTTAGCGTGTCGCTCCGCCAGTTTTGGCCCACCACGCTTGGGCGCGACATGCTAACCACACCTCAGTTCCCAGGCGTCGACGCCCCGAGCGTTTCCCAGCCTCCCGGCCCGCGTAGCGGAGCGACGCGCCATCCGCTTGCAGGGTATCCCATGTCGCCGGGCGCCGCCGCGAGAGGCTAAGCAAAAGTTGCCAGCCGTATGCGCCCCAGGGTGCGGTCTGAGTGCTGAGACCACCCCGCACCAGCCCTGCCGGTCTCTTGGGGCCAGCCGGGACCACTTCGGGCGGCCGACCTGTGGTCCATGGTCCACGGGAGAGCCTTGCGAGTGGAGGATCATATGAGCTACCAGGGCAAAGGCCAGTACGTAGGCTTCTGCACGGCGCCCCTGACGGACTGCGGTGGCCCGGGAGATTCGCACGTGTTCAACCACTTCCCCCGCCTGCGGAAGACAGAGTCCGCCGCGGGCCTTTTCTTTCAGGTCTTTCCCAGCCTCCGCAGAAGAGGAAGGGGGAGGAGGGGGAGGAGGAGGATGAGGATGAGGAGGAGGAGGAGGATGTGGAGCAGGAGGAGGTTGAGGGTGATGACGAAGGCATTGTATTTCATGTCTTTCCCGACATCGGCTTGCCCATTCTTCGCTCTTCATTTGCAGCCCTCGGGGAGGAGGAAGGGGAGCAAGTGGATGAGGGTAGTAGGGTGCGTAGTGGGACGCAGAAGCTTCCGTTTTTTTTTTTTTTTTTCTTCCGTTATTCGTTCAGGTCTTCCCAAACGTTAGCTTGACCATCTACCCGCACTCCGTCTTCAGCCTGATATGCTTACCTGGCTCGACGGTCGGAGAGACCAAGGATCACAATTAGAATTACCACGCCCGTGATAGGAATATACTGCTTCGATGTTCCTTCTTAGCGTGCTTTCTGTTTAGTCTTGTTAGTCTCGCAAGCATCTGGATATGGCTCCAGACCTGGAAGCGCGCTTCCAGGTGTAGTTCTTCCCTGCGTGCTAAGTGGGGTTCTGGTTTTCTCTCCCACTCGTGTCTCACCCACGGACCGACGCGGCCGCGGTGGCGCTGACCGCTGGGCACATTCCAGCGGGCACTTCAATGCGAGTCGGCGACTTGGGAGGGCGCGGTATCATGGCACTGTCGACAACGGCGGACCCGATGATGATAGTAGCGACGCTGGCGACGATGTTGACAACGACGACGGCACGGCCAGTGCGGGCGCAGATGCTGCTCGCGCCGACGACGATGACGGCGTCCTCTCGGCGATGGGAGTTTTTGGAAGGAGTTCGACATGCGCGCGCGGCCGACGCGCGATAGTGGTCCGGGTGGTATTATTTGATACGGATCGTGCCCACCCTTCCGCGCGCGCGCAAGGGCGCGCGCGATTTCGGCACACGGCGCCAGTCTCATTCACCTCACCTCCTAGTCTCCTTTTCGTTTGTGGTGCGTCAGGCATGCGCACACATGCGTAACACACATCATATTCACATACAGCCGCGAACTCACACACCATACAACTTTAGTGTATATTTGGTGCGCGCAGTGCATGAAACACCCCGACGCATGCAACGCAGACGCGGGACATACAAACACACAAGCAGCAGCACACACATTTTCAAGTTGGCGGCGCAGAGGAACTCCAGGCGCGGTCGGCAGATGGAGGTGCCAATGGCGAACTAAGTTAGTCGAATGTGCCGTGATGAAAAATCCAGCCGCGGCCATGCATATTGGTGGTGGTGGTGGTGAAACGATGACCCACTGTAAAGCCAAAGTGCAGCGGCCAAGCATCCCGCGGAGCGTAGTTCGACGCCAGAAGTTCAAGCGCGGGCAGCGTCCTGGTGCTACTTATGCAGCGGCCAATTATCCCGCGGAGCTCGTCGCCAGGAGTTGAAGCGCGAGCAGCAGTCTGGTGCTAATTCGCCAGTGGGGCGGGAAAAAATATAAAGCTGCCAGACCAGCCGATTGGTGAGGTAACGCTGAGAGCAATAGCTGGCGAGATGGTAAGTAGGGTCTTCCCTACGTGCCGGCTGCACAAGTTACAGCATTTGTGGAGTGTTCGAATTTCAGACCGCGGCAGCACCACAACAGCGGATCCGACGGTAAAACAACGTTTACTGGTGTCGGAACGCAGAACGCGTAAAAACATGCACAAACGGAGCCGAAACCAACCAAACTCGCCATGCCGTAAGACTTTTGGTGGACGGCCAAACCACCAAGAGAGGTTAATGCCAATGGCACGTCAAGGCTGACCGAACGCAGGCTACAATAGAAAACCGACCGAAAGACATCGGTAGGTGCCGTTCGGGCAGCACGGTTCACACGCGAGGTGCGCTGTACGCGCCGACGTCAAGGTCGCCACCAAATCGACCAAGGGAGGGACAATGGCACAAAAGAGGTGTACCGCGTCGGCAAAGACCGTCAGGCGAGCACGCGCAAACGGGGCACCCGGACGCGGTAAGGACGACCCGGCAGGGGAGGGAAAGGGGGGGGGACAGACAGAGCAGGCACGGGCAGAGGCAGGAGGGGAGCCCGGAGAGACGACGGCGGGGGACCCCACGACGCTGCCGAGCCCACGACCGACCGACGACGGCGAAGACCGAGCAAACCCCGCGACCCACGAGGAGGAGGACGAGGGGACCGACGAACCACCGCGGAAAGGAGAGACGCTGGCGGGAACGCCAGGCCACCTCCGACAGAAGACGGAACGCCACAGGGCCTAAGGCCGGAGTGGCGAACCTCCTTGCGTTAGATACGCAAAGTCCTTTTAAGGAGTTGCCCACGTGACCAGAGTTGCGTATGATTATTTAATAGGTTAAGGTTTCGTTCGCTAGCGGAATTAACCAGACAAATCACTCCGCCAACTAGCAATGGCCATGCACCACCACCCATACAATCAACAACTAGCTATCAAACTATCAATCCTTACTATGTCTGGACCTGGTAAGTTTCCCATCATACACATATGACACATTGATAACACACATGCAGACCTAGCCATTCACATGACACGCGCACCACACAACGACAGCTGAATGTGTACGCAGGGGGTGGGGGGTGTTATCCGTTGTAAGGTCCCTCAGCGTGGCAGGCGTGGCTCTTTCTCGACACCAGAGTGGGTGCGTTGAGGGTGGGGACACTATCCGGTGTCAGGTCGTAGCGCGTGGCAGTCGTGGCACATTCTCGACACCACAGTGGGGTGCGCTGAGGGCGGGGGACCCTATCCGTTGTAGTGTCGCAGGTCGTGGAAGGCGTGGCATTTTCTCGACGCCACAGGTGTTGCGCTGAGGCTGGGGGCGCTATCCGTTGTAGCATCGCACAGCGTGGCAGGCGTGGCAGTTGACGCCACAAACAGTGCGCTGAGGGTGGGGGGTGCTATCCCTTGTAGCATCGCAAAGTGCGTCAGGCGTGGCATTTTCTCGGCACCATAGGGGTTGCGCTGAGGGTGGGGACCGTATCCATTTTGGGGTCGTAGAGCGTGGCAGGCGTGGCACTTTCTCGACACCACAGTAGGGGATGCGCTGAGGGTGGGGGCGCTGCCCTTTGTAGGGTCGCAATGCGTGGCAGACGTGGCACTTTCTCGACACCACAACGGGGTGCGCTGATGGTGGGGACGCTACCCGTTGTAGGGTCGCAGCGCGTAGTATGCGTGATACTATCACGATCGACGCCACAGAAGATGCTCTGAGGGTCGGGGCGCTATCCGTTTCAGGGTCGCAAAACGTGGCAGGCGTGGCAGTTTCTCGAGACCGCGGGGGGCGCGTTGAGAGTGGTGGCGCTTTCTGTTGTAGGGTCGCAATGCGTGGCGGGCGTGGCACTTTCTAGACACCACAAGGGGGTAAGCTGGGGGCGCTATCCGTTGTAGCATCGCACAGCGTGGCAGGCGTGGCAGTTTTTCGACGCCACAAACAGTGCGCTGAGGGTGGGGGGTACTATCCCTTGTAGCATCGCAAAGTGCGTCAGGCGTGGCACTCTCTCGACAGACACCACAGTAGGGGATGCGCTGAGGGTGGGGGCGCTGCCCGTTGTAGGGTCGCAAGGCGTGGCAGGCGTGGCATTTTCTCGACACCACGACGGGGTACGCTGATGGTGGGGACGCTACCCGTTGTAGGATCGCAGCGCGTAGTATGCGTGATACTATCACGATCGACGCCACAGAAGATGCTCTGAGGGTGGGGGCGCTATCCGTTTCAGGGTCGCAAAACGTGGCAGGCGTGGCAGTTTCTCGAGACCGCGGGGGGCGCGCTGAGAGTGGTGGCGCTTTCTGTTGTAGGGTCGCAATGCTTGGCGGGCGTGGCACTTTCTAGACACCACAGGGGGTAAGTTGGGGGTGCTATCCGTTGTAAGGTCTTCAAGGGTGGCAGGTGTGGCATTTTCTCGACACCAGAAGGGGGTTCGTAGGCGGTCATCATATTTGAATACATATGGCATAAACTGGGTATGTGGGGCTTCTCGGTCGTGTAATAGGTATCACCCTGCTACAGGAGCAGCTGTCCCTCCTCATGGCGCCCAACGCTAAAAAGGAAGAAGACACGCCCGACCAGTATACGCAGAAGTGCGACGACCTCTGGCATTTCGTCCGCCGCGTGAACGAGGAGGACATCGAGGCTATCGAGAACCTCCAGCGCGGGCTGGTCCAGGCAGGCGTAGTATGAGTGGAGGGTGGTGGTGATGATGGGAGAGGAGAACAGTGGAGAGGAGGTTAAGGGCACGAACTTTTGGAGATGCTGGCGGCCCATTCGTCTACCGGCATGTTGTCAGGCTCGGGCCTCCTCAGTCAGGATTTGGCTGTGCCACTGCGGAGCGCCTCCCGGACGCCAGGGGGCCTTTCGTGGGGTCCCCTTCCTGCTTTCGCCTTTTGGAGCGGGGGTTGGTGCTGGGGCTGGCCTCTTCCGCCTTCTTCCGCCTCCTCCTGCGGCCTCGGGGGCCGCCTCTTTGCTAGCCCGCGGGCGGGGGCTGAGCTTTGCCCCGGGCCCGCGTGCGGCGTCGCCAGGCCGCCGGTGCCGGCCATGCTGTTCATGTTTTAGGCCCAGGAGGAGGTTAAGGAGAACGAGGAAGAAGATGATGCGCCCCCTCCCACATCCCCGCGACGGAGGAGAGGGAAAAGGAAGGTGAGGGATGTTTTATACGCATGTTGCCGTCGCCGTCGCGTCGCCGCCTCGTCGCTGCCCGGCTTCTGATCCTGCCCGTCAGTCTGGCGGCTGTGTGGTCGCCGTCGCCGCCCAGTCGCTCTGGGCCTGCCTGTCGGTCTGGCGGCTATGTGGTCGCCATCGCCGCCCCGTCGCCGTCTGGGCCTGCGTTACTTTGCATTCCCTTGCGTTGCTTAGCATTGCGTTCAATTGACTTGCATTGTTTTCCTTGCGTTGCTTCTGCAGTGCTTTGCAGTGATTTGCGTTGCTTTGCATTGCTTTGCCTTGCTTGGCGTTGCATTGCTTTGTATTGCTTGGCGTTGCTTTGCACGACTTTACATTTTTTGCATTGCTTTGCATTGCAATGCCGTGCTCTGCATTGCTCCGCATTGCTTTGTATTGCATTCCTTAGGATTGCTTCGCACTGCTTTGCATCACATTGCGTTGCATTGCTTTTCATTGCCGTGCACTGCTTTGTATGGTCTTGTATCGCATTGCTTTGCGTTGCTTTGCGTTGCTTTACATTGCTGTGCATTGCTTTGCGCTACTTTGTATGTCCCTGTGCTACTTCGCATTCCGTACTTTGATTTGCATTTCCTTCTTCACGTTGGCTTGCACTGTGTTGCCTTGAGTTGCACTGCTTAGCATGCGCCGCATTCCTCCTGCAGTGTTTGCACTCAGGAGTTCTTTTTTTTTTTTTTCTAAGGAACTGTTCCCGCGCGTCGTTCTGGCGGCTGTTGGGTCGCCGTCGCCGCCCCGTTTTCGCCTCGTCGCCGCCTGTCGTCTGGGCCTGCACGTCGGTCTGGCCGCTATGTGGCCGTCGTCGCGCGCCGTCGCCGCCCCGTCGCCGCCTCGTCGCCCCCAGTCCGCCGCCAAGTGGTTGCCGTCGCCGCCCAGTCGTTGCCTAGTCACCGCCCGTCGTCTGGGCCTGAGTGGCTGTCTGGTTGCCGTGTGGCCGCCGTCGCCGCCCCGTCCCAGCGTCGTCGCCGCCCGCCGTCTCGACGCCGCATTGCTTTGCATTGCTTTGCATTGCTCTGCATCGCTTTGCATTTCTTTGCGTTGCGTTGCATTCCTTTACGCCCTTTACATTGCATTGCTTTGCGTGGTTTTTGTTGCTCTCTTTGCTTCCCTGCGTTCATTTTCACTGCTTTGTTTTGCTTTGCATTGCTTTGCATTGCTTTGCGTTGCATTGCTTTGCAGTGCTTGGCATTGCTTTGATTTGCATTGTTTTGCATTGCTTTGCATTGCGCTGCATTGCTCTGCGTTGCTTTGCGTTGCTTCGCCTTGCTTCACATTGCTCTGCGTTTCTTTGTGTTACTTTGCTTTGCATTGCACTGCTTTGCATTGCTTTACAGTGCAATGCAGTGCTTTGCATTGCTTGGTATTGCTGTGCATTGCTTTGCGCAACAAAGTCTGCACCACGCAGATTTCACCATGTCTGCGTCGCATATATTGCAAGGGAATCACTGCTTGGAGTCCACGCTGGCTAAGATAGCTTGCGCCACATATTTTGCACCTCATGTTTCGCACCACGTGGACTGCGCCGGTCGTTTATATGGCACCACTCATACGGCAACACATATATTGCACCACGTAGCTCACACGTCATATATTGCAATGCATACTTTACGTCCATGGTGCGCCACTTAGATTGCACCACGTAGGTTGCTCCACATACGCTGCACCTCATTGAGTGCCGTACAGAGCTCGGAATATATTGGACCACAGAGTATGCTTTCCCTACGTTGGACCTGCATGTTGCTTCGCATAGAGTGCCCCATATAGTATCCTAAAACACACGGTGTGGGGTTTACGCTGCCTAACACATGTGTACGTATAGTTATCGGCGTATAATACATGTATGCACGGCTAGCCGCATACAAGCACACACATGTGTAGGTCCATCGTTGCGTGTGGATTTGTATGTGCACGTATATGTGTAGCTGTATATGACAGGTATAATTTGTAATATGCTTTGATATGCGCTACACTGCTGTGCATATGTTTTATATATGTATGTATGTCAAGTTGTATGGTGGATCTGAAAGTATACTCGATCTTATACAGTGTTGAGGACCAAGAGAAGGTGGAACATGAGGAGGAGGAGGAGGAAGAGGAGGAGGAGGAGGAGGAGGAGGAGGAGGAGGAGGAGGAGGAGGAGGAGGAGGAGGAGGAGTGGGAGAGGAGGAGGAGGAGGAGGAGGAGGAGGATTTGTCTCTAGCGTCGGTTTCGGTGCGGCCCCGTCCGTGCCCAACCTCCTACAGCTCGGCCGGGTCCTCTGATCTCTCGTTCCTTTGCTCTCCCCTCCCCGTGCCTTGTTCCCCAGCGTCGGCTGCAGATGAATGTGCGACCGTCCAGCGCCATCGCAAGCGCGGGGGCGGCCGCCCGCAGCAGGCGCTGGCGCAGCAGCTCCTCGCAGGCCTCTTCGGCGCTGGAGGCCGCCGCCAGCCGCCAGAGCGCCGAGCAGAATGGCGCTGCCCGTGCGGCACTTGCAACTTCGAGGACCGCGGGTCGTGCCGCCAGTGCGGCGCCCTCCGCGCCGGGGCGAGGGCGAGCTGCTCGCTCCTGCCGCCGCCAGCTGCCCCCGAGGGCCGCCGACGCCTGGCCGGCTCTGCCGGGCGCCCAGGCCGAAACCTTCCTCCAGGCTGCCGCTGCGGCAAAGCGCGCTGGGGTTTCGGCTGCGGCCGTCGAGTCGCTTCTGGCGGAGGAACGCGCTGCGCTGCAGCGGCAGGCGGACCGCCGCTGCGGCAATCGCCGGGGCGGCTTGCGGGCGGCGGCGCAGCGAACCGCTGCGACAGCGCGCGCCGCGGAGGAAGCGTTGGCGGCCGTGCATTGCCACCTGAAGGACGCCCGCGCGAAGGCGGCTGCGGCCCAGGCCGCGGCGCGAGCGGATGAGGAGGCTCAGCGAGCGGCGGCGCGGCGAGTCGCCCCCGGATCGCGTTGCCTGCGGGCCTGGCACGGGCCACGCGCGAGCAGCTGGAGCGGCTCGAGACTGGGGCGAACGGCTGGGACAGCGCGCCAGAGCCGCTGCTGGCGGAGATGGCCGCAGCGCGCGCCGCCCTCGCAGCCGCGGCGGCGCCGCCTGCCCAGCCTGGCCTGGGCAGCGCGCGCGCGAAGCTCGGCGATCGATGGGGAGAAGAGAGCGCCCTGAGGCCCCTGGGGGAACTCGATTTGGCGGAGGAGGAGGAAGTGGAGGAGCAGGAGGAGGAGGAGAAGGAGGAGGAGGAGGAGGAGGAGGAGGAGGAGCGACCAGTGTTAAACCCAAGTCTCTTCAACGATGTTGACATATACCCTCCCTTCAAGAGCCTCCTTCGTAGGCCCCTCATAAAAAAGGGGGTTATTTTCACTGAGGAGAGTGTTTCGTTGGGGGACAAGCGTGTGAACATCTTGATGCGTGTCAAAACACCATGCTCTGGACCTCAACGCCACGAGTTAACCTGACTGTTACGTCTTGGCGATCCAGAGTCGTACCACAACACCATTCTTGGGACGTCAACGCCGCGCATCAACGTAACTGTTGCTCCCTGACTGCCCTGAACCGTTCTAACATGAAGTTCTGGCAATTGTTGAAAACACATGTGCGCAGCGCTAAGGCGAGAGCCACATTCTGAAAAGGAACCGCCCTCAATCCGTGAAGCTCTTGCACATTTCTACTTCGAATGTGCGCGGCTCTGGTGAGAGCCGCATTTTGAAAACCACCCGCCCTCAATCCGCGACTCTGTTTTTCAATCTTGAAGAAAGAGCGTGCGCGGCGCGCCGCTAGTGCGAAAACCACATTTCGAAAACGAGTCGCCTGCCTTCAATCTGTGAAAGTTTGGCAATTTTGTAGAACGAGTGTGTTCGGCGCAAAGGCGACGACCACATTTTGAAAAGCGCCCGCCGGCAATTCGCGACTTTCTTCCAAGGCGCTAAGGCGAAAACCACATTTTGAAACCGAGCCGCCCTCAACCCGTGAAGTTAATGCATCCTTGTGTAACGAATGTGCGAGGCGGTAAGGCGATAGCCACATCTTGAAAAACGCCCGCCCTCAATCCGTGAGGCTGTTCCACATGTTTAGAATGAGTGTGTGCGGCGCTAAGAAAAGGGCCACATTTTGAAAACCACCCGCCTTCAATCCGTGAAACCCTTGCAATTATTGTATACGCTTGTGGTCGGCGCTGAGGCGAGAGTCATAGTTTGAAAACGATTATGTGAAACTGTTGTGATCTTTTACCATCAGGGCCATAAGCGATGAGGACGTCTCAGGCGAAACGCCGAGCCCGCCCTTTCGACCAGCTTCGGGGTGCGACGGGGAGGAGTTATCTATAACGGAAATGGGTGGAGGAGGAGAAAGAAAAAGGATGAGGATGAGGATGATGATGATGATGATGATGATGATGATGATGATGACGAGGATGATGAGGATGATGAGGATGATGAGGATGATGAGGATGATGAGGATGATGAGGATGATGATGATGATGACGATGATGATGAAGATGATGATGATGATGATGATGATGATGATGATG